GGGTTTGACTCCTAGCTCTTCTATTGCTGTTGGTGAACCCCAGACTAGGTCCTTAACTACTATGGGCCTGTTGCCATCCGTAAGATGGAGACTGTCACTACCCAAGGGAGCTGCCGGAGGTGGCAGAACACATGTGCATGTATGGACCTCTGTGTGGCTGGCATGGGTTAAGTGCTATGTAAATTGTGCTTATATCAGCATCTGGGTTACTAGTAGTATTGATTATCTTCTTTCATCGCCATCAGCAGCAGCCTCGGAAGACTGAAGAATCTCAATAAACATGGTGCTGGAAGAGGTTCAGGGCTGGGCAGGCAAGTCTCGCCCAGGAGCAGCGCATGCCCTCAGCCATATGGCCACTGCGGCAGCCACAGTCCCGAGTCCTGAACGCACCTTCCCTGCAGCTTCCCAGCCACGGGTGGAACCTGGGGCGCCGGTTACAGTTACAGGCACGGGATCTTACTGCTGCCATGAGCTGGAGCTCCAGCTATCGCTGAATGAGTGTTCTACATATGAGACCCGGATCTGCAAAGCAAGTGCTCCAGGTAACACCGCATCAGCCCCTACAGATCCAGAGGCCCTTAACACGCTGCCTGCAGCAGGAGGCTCCCTCCCCTCCTGAAGCCTGCTCCTGGTTTCTCCCACAGAAGGCAACTAGGGACCCACTACTGTGGATTCCATTCCCACAAAAGGAAACATCGGGAGAAGCCAGCAGAGCCTCGGGAAAGGCCAGGCTTGATGGTTCATGCCTGTAATCCCCGCACTTTGGGAGGCCAAGGCGGGTGATCGCCTGAGATCAGGAGTTTGAGACACGCCTGACCAACATGGTGAAACCCCGTCTCTACTGAAAATACAAAAATTAACCAGGCTTGGTGTTCGGCGCCTGCAGTCCCAGCTACTTGGGAGCCCGGGAGGTGGAGGTTGCCGTGAGCCAAGGTCGGGCCGCGGCGCTCCAGGCCGCATGCTGGTGGAGGGAGCCTCAGGGGGAAGGAGCCGGGCAGGAATCCCAGCGAGTCCCGGGCTTTAGGGAGACGGGCTCGAAAACCAGGCCAAGAAAAGGCATGCGTGGGCGCCGCGCGTTCTGAACGGACAGGCGAAGCCGGCCGGGCAGCGTTTTCCGGGCTTTCCAGGCACACAGCTGCCGCTGACGCCGCGGGCAGGGAAGAGGGACACGGAGGCGCCTCGGCAGCTGCTCGGCGTCAAACGCAGGGCGGCCGGTGACATCCGCGAGGCCTCGCGGAGGACGAGGGCCCGAGCGGCGGGGTGCTGCCGGGGTCGGACGCCTCCGGAGGCCAGCGGCGAACCCGCGGAGTCGGGGAAGGCCGCGCCCAGCGTCTCCCGCCTCCCGCGCGGCACCCAAACACCCCCGGGGCAGCTCCCTCGTGGCCCACACGCGAGGGCCCGGGACCCGCCTCCGCCCGGCCGCCGCGCCCCTCCCGCGAGGCACCTTCCGCGAGCTCGGGCTCCTGCCGCCCAGCTTCGTCTCCGGGGCCGTCGGCCGTCCTCCAGAAGAAGGCCACCAGCTTGGCCGCGAGGCTCAGCATGACCCTCGCCCGGCCTCGGCTGCCTCAGCCGCCGCCCGCACGCGCCCTCCCCGCTCCCGCCGCCCGCGACCAATGGCGGGGGTCGCGGCGCCTGCGCATGCGCCTGGGGTCGGCGCACGAGCGAGCGGGGACCCGTAGCGGTTAGAGGTCAGCGGTTGGCGCCTAGCAGCACGTGGCGAGGCGAGATGCCTGGTGGGAATGATGTCATGCTGGGCGGGCGGGGCTTCGCGGGCGGGGGAGGCGAGAGGCTCACGTGGTGGGCGGGGCTTGGCGCGGTGGTGGGCGGGGCTTGGCGCGGGTCCACCTCCGAGCCCCCACCCCTCAGGGAAAAGTGTATGTTTCACGGCCCAGAGCGATGTTACGAGTCGTTTTTTGTTGGTGTCCTTTTTTTTCTTTTGTGAGCCAAAGATTTATTTCTTCATTTCTTTTTCTCTTTTTTTTTTTTTTTTTTTTTTTTG